GGAGGAGGGAGGAGAATAAACCAGATGGAGTCGAGGAGAACGAGGAGGAGGAGAAGGGAAGTGGGGAAGAGGGCACAGATAGCAGAAAGGATGGAGGCTGAGAAGGAGGAGGGAGGACGGGCTGCGGCTCACCGGGTTACAGAGGAGGCCAAGGCAGATGGGGCAGGAGTAGCTCTCGGGGAGGGGCTTGAAGAGGGTGACCCTATGCATGACCTCCGACGCGAGGACCTCGACGTCGGTGATGAGGGAGCCAAACCTCCTGGAGCTGTAAAAGTGCCGCCGGTGAACATGCTGAATCATCTCCCACCGCAGCTGCACGGCTGACTGCTTGTCGTGTTTCTTGGTGATCTTGATGACGGCCAGGCTGTTGAGCATGACGAACTTGCGGAGGCTGTCGACCTGCCCACTGTTGCTCAGAGGACAACGTACTCCTCCTTTTCCTCCTCCTCCTCCTCCTCCTCCTCCTCCTCCTCCTCCCGACTCCCTCCCTCCCTCCTTCGTCGTCTTCCTCGTCCTCACCTTAGCTGAAAACTGAAGAAGAGACTGAATCATCTTTCCTGCCGACGTTCCTTCCAGTGATGAAACCTGCGAAGTATCAGCAATCGTGAGAGCTCCTGCATCATCATCATCATCATCATCATCATCATCTCCATCATCATCATCATCATCATCATCATCGTCATCATCATCGTCGTCATCGTCATCCCCGACACTTCTTCATCCTAACCAGGGCATCCAACCGCAAGTGTCCAGCTTTACATTTCGAAGCTGCTGCACGCTCAGGCGAGTGATCGACCTTGACGGTCGAAGCTTCTTGGCACAGTGAACGAAACCTGTGCAACAGCGTCAGAATTCAGTTCCTCCTCCTCCTCCTCCCGTCCTTTGTTTCCATCTCTTTCTCCCTCACTCCCTCCATCTTCTGCTCCCCCCTCCCCTCTGCTCCCCGTCCTCCTACCTGTCCACCTGGACTTCCTAACCCTGGCCGAAATATCCTGACCTCAGTTTCTAATCCCCTCCCTCCCTCCCTACTCCCTTCTCCCTGCTTCCGCTCTCTCCCCCTTCCTCCGCCACTCACTCTGTGTACAGCTCCGTTTCCTGGTTCAGGAAGAACCTGTCAACCTGCGGTCCCGTCAGCCTTCAACGTCAGCTGACCACCGTCTCCTCACCTTGTCGATCTCCGCAAGGATCGCGCTCCTGAACTTCTCCTCCGACGCTGCAGGTGCTCCGTCCTCCACCAGGGCCTTGAGCTTGTGCTTCAGATCCTGATGAGCACAGCGGTCAGACCTGACGCATCGAGAGTAGCATATCCTCCTCTTCCTCTGATCCTCCCCTCATACTCACTTCTCCCTCTCCTCCCGTCAACCCTTGCTGCTCCCTCCCCCCCCTTACGTCTGCCCTCCTGCCCTCCTGCCCTCCTGCCCTCCTGCCCTCCTGCCCTCCTTCCTCCCGCCCTCCTGCCCTCCTGCCCTCCTGCCCTCCTGCCCTCCTGCCCTAGTCTTCTTCCCCCGGCACTGCTTCATCTCACCTTGTAGTCCAGGTAGTGATCTGCCCATTGCTCTGTCGCCTCGGCGCGAATCCGCTTCCCGAACTTCATCGTTCCTCGGCCTCCTCAGCGTCCCCCTGAGAGGAAGCAGACATTACAAGCAGCACAGGCGGAGTAGGCTGAGAGAATGTTGAACGAGGAAGCTAGAGCAAGACACCAGCACGAGGAATAGAGTGCGTGCAAGTGCGTTCGATGGAGTAGAACAAAGTTACAACTTATAGGACAAACAACTGAAGAAGTGTTTTGAGAAGAGAGTACACTTCGAGACGAAGTGAATGAGTGAAAAAAAACATTAACACTGTGAGAAAGCATCAACTTCGACCATCATGTTCCAAGTCGAGTTTGTTTTTCTCAACACAACCCAAAAGTACAGAAATGTGATTCAACATCGCAGCGGGACTGCAGCATCAAGAGATTGCGGGGGGAATGAAATCTTTCAAGGAAGGATCCGTGCGATCATATAGAAACAAGAATAGACGGAGAGGAATCCTGGTGATGAAAGAAAAAGAGGAAGGCCCGACCCAGTGAAACAAAATGTGGGTTTGTGTTGAATCGGATTTCAAGGATTGTTGCATAGAACATGAGCGATGCAGGTGGAGGGCTTGCTCAGCACAAGGAGACAAGATGACGAAGTTGTTCCATGCTTAGATTCAAGGAGGATACAAGGATGGTCGTCACAAAAGCTAGTTGAAACTCGTGCACGACTCGATTCCTTGCGATCCCAGGATGGGCGTGGCGAGGAATGGATCTATCAAGGGAGGGAGGGAGGAGCAGAGGAAGGAATGAGAGGAGCGGAAGAGGTAGTGGAAGGCAGGAGCACGAGGGTCAAGCTCTGCATTACTCACCAGCCTTCTCCTCTCCTGCTACCATAGCGGTGCGTACAAGAACGGTGATGGCGCAGTAGACAAGGGACGGGCGGTACTGGGGGGTAGGGTTACGGCCGGGGGTGGTGGCTTGTAAGGGTCATAAAATCCTGTAAAATGGGGGGGTATAGGAGAGATAATGGAGGGGTGCAAGAATAGTATTTGTGCTCACCAGGTAGGGTGGGTGGTTTAAGAGGGGTAGGGACGGATAGAGGTGTCAACCCCTTCTGCCCCTGACGAGCGGGTGTAGCACTGCGCAAGGTCATGGGGTGGAAAAACAGGGGGTGGGTGTAGAAAAAGATCTCTTTTGGCGGGTACTTACCTATGTGAAATACCCTTCAAAGAAGGGTAGGGTACCAAAAGTCAGGGTACTCAAAAGTGATTCTCCAGATCTGGGGTGGTGCATTGGATTGCTACGTCCATAGTGCCCCGTGATGACATAACCCTCCCCCAATGGACCCCTCCCTGGGACATAATGAATGACGGTAGGGTACTCCACCCTTCCCCTAGATACCCCATATTTGACCGTCCTTGATACCGGTGGTATTGGGTCATATGATCTGGTCACGTTACGGTTATAAAGTGCCCTACTACCCCTTCTCGGGCGACCTCTCCAGACTACCCCTACTTTTCTCATTCTACTCTGGGGTGGGTGGTTGATAGAGGGACATGGGGGGGTCATTTTAGATGAACGATGGGAAAACAAAGTCTCGGAATCGGGGTAGGGTAGTGCAAGTGGGATGATTGGGGTAGTACAAGCAGTCATCCTCGGGGTGGGGGGTGTACAGGAGGCACAGGACAAGGATCGTCAAAATCAATTGAAAGGTCAATATAGAATTCTCACTCTCGGAGTCCCGGAGTCCATCGCTGAATGGAGTCTGCAAATAGAGCAAAAGGAAACAGCATTGTACCGGGGTAGCACTGCTCAATGGAGTGGGGGGTGGGGTGGTAGGAGCCGTCGGAGTCTCTTGGTGTCCTTAAAGCCGCAGGAGATCCCCGGCGGGCTCAAGGCATAAGGCCCGCGCCGCCTCAAGATACCCAGCCAGTCACTTGTTAGCCTGTGACGGGCCGGGCCCGTGCCGCCGCGGCCCGTCCGATACGGATAGGACTCCGCGCGTGTACGGTCACACCGTGTGACCACGCCACGATGGCACCGTGATCATGCGGTGCCGCTGGGACTGCGGCCCGGCGCGGACTGAGTCCCGTCACGGAGTCCGCTGTGGAGTACGGTACCCGGTACCGCACTGCGGCAGTACCGTAACGGCCCGACTTCTACGATCGGATCCCGGCAGGGCCCAACAGCCTTGCCGGCACTGACAGCCTCCGTGACTCCGAGGCTGCGACGGTACTGGAGACTCAGGCATGTAATAGCAGGTTATGAGCCTCCTGATCCTGGCCTCCTGAAGTCCTCTAGCTCCTCCCGGTCACCAGTGGCAGTCAGAGCCACGGTCTCCTGCTCCTCCTCCGAAGCTGCTCCTCCTCCAGGCTCGTTGAGTGACTCAGTGAGGAACAGACGATATGGGAGGAGCTGAGAAGCAGGAGGAGGCTGAGGGCCCCGTCGAGCGATCACGGAGCTCACTTGAAGTTGATGATGCGACCAAACTGAGAGGAAGTGAGAGGAGAGGAGAGGAGAGGACGGCCGGTAGAAAGAAGGGGGAAAGGCGACGAAAGGATAGACGAGGAAGGAAGCAGGAAGGGAGGAGGAGAGGAGGATGAACGATAACGATGGAGAGGAAAAGGAGGAGGACAAGAGGGCAAGGAACAGCATAGAACATACTTTAGCAGCATCCAAAGAGGCTCCTCCGACCAGGCAGCCATCGATATCTGCTCGGGCGATCAGGCGAAAGGAGAGAAAGGAGGAGGAGCGGGAAGAGGGAGAAGAGGCTGAGGATGCGGAGGATGTGTAGGACGACGACGAAGAAGCAGGGAGAGACGACAAGGCCAGCAATGGCGAGAGAGAGGAAGGGGGGAGAAAGCGAGGAGGAGGAGGAGGAGAA